CTGTCATGGTATACCCGCAGTTGCAGCAAGACCTCATCTCTGTTCTGACTCGCTTTCGTACTAAAGGCTTTGATATAATTGCAGACGTCGAAAAGATGTACCGGCAGGTTTACGTGCTAAGCTGGTGCGGAAAGTCCAGTCAAGTTTGAACCACTCAATGGGCAAGTTGTACGCACGGACGGACTCCATGGTTGTGTTGGCGTGGCTACAAAGCAATGCAAGTTGCTGGGATGTGTTTGTTGCCAATCACGTCGCCGAGGTACAGGAAGTTTCACCGGCATCACATTGGAGGCATGTCGCCTCAGAGAACAATCCCGCTGATTGCGAATCGAGAGGTATTACACCATCACAGCTTCTTGCGCATCCCTTGTAGTGGCATGGGCCACCTTGGCTATGGGAGGGCAACAATTGTCGGCTGATATCCGCGCAAAAACACAACACAGAGCTCGAGTTAAAATCAAAGAAGACCTTTGCGCATCTAATTCAAACCGCTGACGAATGGGACCTGTTGACCAAATATCATTCATTTCACAAACTTAAACATATAACCGCTTAGCTATTGCGCTTCGCCAACAACACAGGCATCACAGCTTCACAGTCTGGTTCAGAAGCACTAAACATGGGCTGTTTAACTTGTGCCGAAATACGAAGTGCCGGAGTAGCATTGGTAAAGTATACCCAGTTTAATTGTTTCGAACAAGAAGTTTATAATTGCAGGTTAAACAAACCTGTACCGATGCGATGCAGCCTAGCCCGGTTGCAACCGTTTCTACATTCAAATTGTATTATACGTGTAGGAGGCCGCATCAAAAACGCCGTGCTTTCAGACGATGACAAGGAATCGCCGCTTGCTAAGGTATTTGCTGCTGAGATACACCTAACGGTTTGGGTACCCGGTATTTGAATCCTTGTGCGTGGGGTATATCGCCATTGTACGCGGTGCAGACGACTGAGCTGCTAGCCAATACATCAACTCATGTCTGATTTACCCGCAAGCCGCGTCATCTCTACGCGTTGTTTCCTGCATAGTGCGGCCGATTTTGCTGGCCCTTATGCCTTGATATTTACCAAGGCATACATCCATCGGCGTAGCCAGAATGAAATTTAGGGTGGGGGGGTTGGCTCGACCCTATTAAGCTGGCATTTCAGGGTACTAATTTATATATATATAAGGAAAATTTTAAAGTTAGGGGGGGAGCGGCTCGAGCAGCCCCCTCCCCTACCTGGCTACGCCCATGCATACATCTGCTCGTTTATATGTATGAGTACTAGTGCAATGCATCTCGGGCTGACTAGGGACCTCCCCTCAATCACCTTTATTGCCGCTTTTAAAGGTTTTGCCAACAGAAGAGGCCACTGTCAGCATATTTACTCCGAAAACGGCACTAACTTCGTGGGTACTGAGAAGGAGCTGCGGATAGGGACACGAATTTCGATACGATACGATACCATATCGATACTTTTGGCATTCGATACCGATATTTTCTACTCGATAGTTTTAAAACGATATTTTTTGGGGTCGAGTACCAGAACCCTAGTATCGCATCGGATGTCATAAACTCACATTACAAGAATAATGGCGCATATTCATAGTCATATTTAGTTCACAACTAAGTCGAAACTATCTTAAGTTACAACTAAAGCTCTTCATAGTCGCCTTAGTTTCGACTTTTCTGGCTAAGTACTAACTTAAAATTTAGTTTCGGCTGCAGCTGCAATTAAGTCGTAACTAGGAAGAAGTATTCTATTAAATTAAGGAAAAAAATACGAAATATGTAAAAATAATGTTGGCAGAGCGTGATTTTGATAATATTGAATGATCTCCAGTTGAAATTTACAAAGAGTGATCCATTTGAATAGGAAGACGAAATTAAATGCGTATTACAATTCGAATAAGGCTGCTTCACAATTTTATAATTAGAATGTTTTACATATATAAATGCTCAAATAATAAGTCAATTTCAAGCTTGTTCTTATAAAGCAAATTAGTGCATAACATTTAGGTATGTGTTTGTATATTTCACAGCATGCTTTCGATAAACATCTACTTCACATCATTGCGGTAGTTCTGAAATAATTAACAAGAAACTTATACCTTATTATTTTGCATGAAAGTAAAAATTACATAAACGGATGATCAAACTTGACATTATTTAATAAAAATGTAATTTCTCCAAAATATAGTAAAGAAAAATCGATACATTTTCACGCTCGTTTTGCAATATCGTAAAACTAAGTTAAAACTACTTAGAAGAAGTCTAAAAGAAATGAATTTTAAGTTGGTACTTAAATTTAAGTTGCAACTTTTTTAGTTTCGACTTAGTGGCTGGACTATGAATACGCGCCAATGTTATTAACAGCTCAACCTAATATTACCGGCGAGAGTTTTTCTACGCACGCACGCAAGTTTTTCTCATTTGATAAACCGAAATCAATTTGCGTGCGTGATTTCTAAGGTTGCAAACAGAGTGGAAGCGAAGCCGAAGACGAAGATGAAGATGAAGACGAAGCCGAAGACGAAAAACAGTGCAGTAGTAAACATATGAAAGTGATCACAGTGCAAGCAAAGACGGAGACGAAGATGAAGATGTTGCGCAAGCGGTCAGCTTGAAACAGTGCGGTACTGTTTTCAAAGACGAATCGCTTGCTGTGATGAGTTGTTTACAATTTACTTAACTGTTTGCAATTGTGAAAAAACGCGTTTTTTAAGAAATTGGCTAAATTTTTGGCAAAATGTAATCAAACGTATTAATTGGCATTCTTGTCTGTCCGTCTTGCCGTAACACATAATAGAAGTGGCGAAATTCTCCAAAAGTTGTCCTATTTAAACAAATTATTTCATGAATTGCCGTTTTTTTTTATTTTCTTTTGATTTTATCTAAAAAAAGGGTTTTATTTAGAAACAGATCTTCATATCATTCATCTTCAACTATGTACACTCGCCAGCTTGCCCGCAACGCAAGCAATTCGTCTTCGGCTTCGTCTTCATCTTCGTCTTCGGCTTCGCTTCCACTCTGTTTGCAACCTAAGAGTTGCATTTCTGTCAAATTTAGAGAAGTTTGCTGAAAAAAATTTGAATCCATAGTCGCGCCAAAATGCCAATTGAGCATAAACCTCAAATCGAAATGTCACGCAAGACAAATCGTGGAATTTGAGTTAGCTTTTTTCGCACGCATATAAGGTTGGCCTGTAACAATTCTTCCCGATATAAATCGGGCTTTAAAGAGCAGAAATCTAAACTATAGTTAGGATTGCATGAAATGGGATTTGAACCCACGGCCTCGGTGTTTTAAGTCAACACCTCAATCTCTACGTTTTGAAATAATAAAAAAGTCCGGCGCTTACACAATATGTTATTGTTTGGCCGAACTTCTCCTCCGATTCGTCGCGTGCGCCTTAATGTTGTGGCACAAAGGAGGTTCCTTCAGTTTTGTGTTGACTCTGAACGGCGATTGTATTTTATGACAAGCTGTTTTTCATTTTCAAGGCTTGCGCACTTTTAACCACTGCACCACAGCGGCCTATATGCGAGACCTATATTCAGATAAATTTTTATCGATATCTGGAACATCGAGTCCTTTTATTCCGATATTGATGGGTACCCGATATTTTTAAAGCGATGCTTTATATGAGTACCATATCGATACTTTCGGTTCGATATCGTGTCCCTAGCTGCGGATCGCATACGAACGCTGCATCAATGACGACAAAGTGTCATCATATTTCACCGACGCTCAAACGACCGGGCATTTCAACCTCCCGAGCGCCCCACACATGGGTGGCTTTTGGGAGTCTGGTATAAAGCGCGTTAAGTACCACCTCAAACGAGCACTGGGCCCGGCGCTTTTAACTTACGAAGAGTTTGCAACAGTATTAACTAAGGTCGAAGCCTGCGTAAATTCGTGTCCTATTTGCTGCATTACTACCGAAGTAAACGACTTGGAAGTCCTCACACCAGGGCACTTCATAGTCGGCGAACCACTTAAGGGTTTCCCGACCCTGACGTTGAAGTCTTTAAAGGAACTATTTTTCAACGTTGGCAATTAATCGCATCAATCCGACAGTATTTCTGGAAATGCTGGTGGGACGAATACCTTGTCAGACTTCAACAACCCTCAAAGTGGTTACGCTCAACACCGAATTTTCAGAAAGACGACGTAGTAGTTGTACGTGGCAGTAACGCGCCACCCACTAAATTCAAACGTGGTCGCGTACTTAGCATCCATCCGGCCTCAGATGACCGTGTTCGAGTCATAAATTTAAAAACATCCGAAGGGGAACTATTGAGACCTGTCGCTAAGTTATCGTTACTACCAACAAAGAACGACATTTTTTCCATATGATTTATGTATTTGAAACAACTTGAATTGAAATTGTAAAATTTGAACAGTCGTTCAAAGCGGCCGGAATGTTCGCGCCTATCTGGCATCTCTTATATACTTGTTTAGTATAAACTACTCCTGGTAACTCTGACATCCTTGCTGTTAAAGCTAACTTCGTTTTTTTCTCTCTAATAAATGGATTTGACATAATCGAACGTGTTTGGGTTTTTTTTCTTATCGAAAGGAATCCGCTTTTAAACATTTATTAAACCCGCGAGCGATATTAAGCGTTAACAAGTATTTTAAAATATTTTAGCAATGCCACTTTTAATGAGCCGACATCGAACTTCTTTAAAATAAAAGTCAAAAGGACTCATTTTGGTTGCCGTTAAGGGGTTATAATTGTGGACGGAAAAATTTTCTTTTAAATTTACTATGGTTCTCCTAAGCCAAGAATTTGAGAACAATTTGTACAAATAATTACATACCAAATGATTATTTTGTGACCAAAAAGTGGAAAATTCAACCACTTAGGATTCCACTTCCACTTATGGAAATAACCATTTGGATACAATTTGGTTGACACCCTGAAATGGCTGTTCCACATTTAATATGAAATTCTTGGCCATTTAATTTCTTTGTGAAAAGTATAGGCATTCTATTTATTGTTTTTAGTACCTTTTTGACAGGCATGAAATGAGTCATCTTTGGCCACATGCTGCAAATCAAACGTAAGTTTCGTCTCCGGCAGCAAACTTTTATCCTGATTAATGCTATTAATCGCGTACTTGAATGCCAGGTCGGTTGGGCCATTGTGCTTGCCGGAAGATATAGCACCTACAGATATAATATTCATATATAAATCGTTTAGAAAATATGTGCATACATACGTATTTATGTATAGATGCGTATGTGATCAGCTATACTCACCGATACGTATGACTGGTGGCAGTGTTGAAGAACCTCCATATAAGGCCAAAATAGCCATGAAAGTGTATTGAATTCGTCTCAAATAAAAAATCATTATGAAAGTTTCATGAGCGCTGTCTTGAATTTTAGTGTGGTTTTTGTTATTAATGTCAGTATACCCTAAGTAGTCAACTCTATATACTCTATAGTAAAGGTTCGTTTTCACGAGCTCAAAATTGGGCAATTTCAATTGTCAATTTCAATTTGAAATTGTAAATATTAGTTGTTTACAATCGTTGTGAAAAGGAGAAAGATGAGGTTTTTGTTGACATAGTCTTGCCATTTTGTACTATTTTAAGAACTGCGAAGTAAAAGAAACTGAACCAGTTACAGATTTTACCTTAGATTTTCTTAACAAATTATAACAAGAATTTGCTCCAGCTTTTGCCGAGAGGTAAATAAAAGCTCTGCGTACACTTTTAGCGCATAATTTCAAAAATGTCAAATAAATTAATTAGCCAAACAAAACGGCTCCATCCATACATATATGTAAGCATAACATAGGGATGTTGCGAATGTGGAATTTCAGACAACCGCGGATGCGAATGCGGATGCGGATGTCAAATATTTTTAAGATATGTAAGTATGTAAGTACATTAAGTAAACTAAGTTATTTAAAAGTTAGTAATTTTTAATAATCTTTATTTTATTTAGTAATTGAATTCAAAAATTGGAACATTATATTTAATAAAGAGTAATGAGAATTGTATCGGGGCTGAAAATGTCGGATGTATCCTCCTGACTTTCATCTTCACTTGAAGAATTTAGCATAACGACCTCGCCGTTGTTTAAACACCGCTTTCAAGCCAAACCAGATGCATCAGGTTTTTCTAAAGCTTTCTAAAAACAATTCTTCATTTTCATTCCTTTGGCTGTTTCAGAATTTGGGGAACCTGTAACGTTATCAGCATTTTTCGATTTTAGTTTTTGTAATTAATTTTTAATACTTGCTTTTACGACTGGTGTGAAAAACTTGAGCTTAAAGCGAGCTAAATAGGTGGATACGGAAAATAAATTATTATTTTCCAGGAATGAGAATTTCGAACAAAATTCTGTTTTAAAAGTTGTGGCTGCCAGCCGAATCGGATCAGAATATTCTTATTTTTTTTAAAACCACCCCATTTTTTTATAAGCATTTGAATTATTGGAATCACGGATAATGATGGTCTCAGATAGTTACGTAATTCTTATCTAATTAAAGGTCAGACCTATAACTTTTTAATTTCTTTAGCATTGATTCTCTTTATAACCAGTCGTTGAAAACTTTTGCTGGAAATCCCTTTTGAAGGAGCTTATTCTTTCGACTTTAAATAGTAAAGAAGGCATGCGTAGGGGGACAGTCTTACCACAAAAGTTTTTAGCTAAAGATCCAATGTACAGCGTGATGACGAATAACTGTTACCCAGGTTTTTTTTGAGAAATAAAAGGGGCCTTTATAGATGTTGCGAAAAAAGTATTTTATTGCTAATTTTCCACAGATTTTACTTTAGTTATATTAATTAGTTTTTAAATTTTAATCCTTATTTAAATTTGCCAGCAGTGTAAACTTTTAGAGAAAAGTTAATTGGCACGCGGGTTTCGTCCGTTAATTTATTCCATATCTTCTGTAACCCCATGCTAATTTTCTCCGTTTTGAGTCCCTTATACTCCCCCTCCTGTCCAACATAAGGCCTCATACTCAAAAATCGAATAGACTCAGAACTGGTGACTAGGACGGCCATTCATTCGACCAACCCTATACAGTTTCTTCTTTTTTTGACTTTTTTTATACAGACAAAGCCTAAGAAAACATACACCTGAAAAAGACTGGCGTGCCAAATGAATTTTTCTCCCAAAGTTTACATTTCTGGCAAATGTAAATAGGGATTAAAATTTAAAAACTAAATTATACATACAACTAAAGTAAAATCTGTGGAAAATTAACAATAAAATACTTTTATCGCAAAATCCTTAAAGGACCCTTTTAATTCTCAAAAAAAACCTGGGTAACAGTTAATCGTCGCCATGCTGTATATATGAAATAAATATTGCCGAAAAAGTAAACAAAATTACTGTTTTTGAAATTTTTGCTAAAAATAAATTCCCCATTTGAAATGATTGAAGCGAATATTTCTAACTACAAAAGGAAATCATGAAAATTTGGTTTAAAATTATAGTGCAAACTGTCTTCTATTATATCTAGCAGCTTTTTTTTAAGAATTGTCCAAAAAAATCACATTAAAGAAAGAAACCAAGCTATTTAAAGCAGAGAAAACAAAAAAAAATAAAAAATATTATTAAAGGGACAATGTTATCTTTGACGTATGTCAAAGGTCAAGTA